GCTAATAAGCAACTAGTTAATAGTGAGAATTGGTCCCTATACTATTACCTATTTTATTTATTGTAAATTATTGGAGAACGAGAGTTTATATCAAAATAAAGAAAAGAGTGCGACAGCCATAAGTTTTAAAACCTGGAAAAGTTAAGTTTTTAAATGGGCTTTTAGTTAGATGCTTGAAATAAGGTCTCTGGTGAACACAACCTCAAGATATTTTCAGGTTATATTCTATGATTAAATACATCAATAATTCCCCACTTGTTTTTAAAAACCTTTTTCTTGTCTTGAAAATGGCTGTTGCTAACAAGTAGCTGAATGGGACTACAGAGGTTATAGTTGTGTAGTTTGTTCAACTTCAGCTTTTAACTTCTGCCGATTGTACCTTGCCTTCATAATTCATAAAAGCGTTTAAAATAATTCATAAAAATCATTTATGAACAGAACATGTCAAAATCATAAACTTTTGGTAGTCACAAGAGTGTATTTTCTGCAATAATCCAAAAGCCAATTGTCTTTTTGTTGAGGGAACCAGGGTGATGCAAACTTCGAGGCTGGCCAACAAAAATATGTCACCCCTGAAGCGCTCTACATAAGTTTCCTACAGCAATGCCTAAACAGCTGTTTCGCTATTGGTTTACTTTATCCAACTGCCTGTGGTGACTAAACGACATCAGTGGAAAAGCAAAGTCATTACAGAGGTCTAAGCGAGTTATTTCATTTAAAAAAAATTACGAATGCATTTCTTTGAAATAACCTGCATCAGCGCATTAAGTAAATGAACTGCTGAATTTCATGTCGACTTTAAGATATCATGACAGCCCTAATAATGTGTATGTTCACCTTGTCAAGTTCGCTGGAAAGTTTCTTGTTCTCCTCTGACAGCAGCACTCGCTCTCTCTCGTACTTCTGTTTGTACTCGGTCTCAAACTCCTCTCGTTCGCTCCGACTGTGAGGGTGAAATGATTTATTGAACATCAGGGTTACTGCACTCAGCATCTAACACACACTGCCAACATACTAACACAAGCCAAACTCCATAGCTTATTTTATGGAACATAATCTACGCTGTATTTTATTTCTTCCCCTGAAGTCCACTTATAATGTTAGTCAAGGTTCCTTGCACCACAAAACGATTGCAATTTAGTTTTACATGACCACATTCCAACCTCTCTGACCCTGAATTATAAAGCAAAATAATACATGGTGGTATTAAAAGAAACAGCTAAAATAAAGCGTAATCTCTTGTAGTAAGATCAGTACCTCTCTCGGCGGGTCTTCTCCAGCTTGTCTTTGAGCATC